AATGAGTGGAATATGCACATTATAAAACCAGGGCTCTGTCTCACAGCTAGGATGAGTCATCGTTGTAAACGACTTTAAACATAATTTTTTGCAGACCTTGATAGTTGCATTATACTATGTACACATTCTTTGTTGACTTATGCTGATATAAGAAACATTTTTTTTTCTTGCCCAGATTACCTTATTTGTTTGTACTAATAGTATTAGGCAATTACATAAATTACATAAAAGGTGCATCCACAGTAAAAATAAGTCTTATTTTAATGATCAAGCAAACAATAAATTTTGTGTCTCATGTGGGCTTTTATTAAAAATATTTCTAGCCTAGTAAATATGGTAATATTTTGTTCCAATAGTATGGAACGTCTGAATGGTTTGACGATGTTATCGTTAAATTTTCTGTAAAAGCATTATGATTATATTTTTTCAAAACTGCATACATGTTACTATAATGAAACAAAAAATTATATTTTTATACTATTTGATTTATACTTATATTTATACCTGATTACTTATTTATATTTGAACATTTTTGATGGAAATTTATAAAACCTTCACCCCGGCAGTAGATTATCAAAATATGCAAAGCGCAAGAAATTGTCAATGGCTCCAAGGCTGTATGCAGTTTACAAAACCTGATCAAATTTATTATTTAATATTTCACACACATATTCTTGAATTTAAAATGAAATTTAAAAAGTAGTATTGTCCCTATAGTTTGGCAAAAACAAGTAAATTACTGTAAAGGGGGTAATTATTCACTGGGTTTTAATTTAGCTTATTTCGCTGACTGGAAAAATGCGCTAAATTAAAACCCAGTGAATATGTAAAATTTAGTATAGAACACATTATCTAAATGACGAAACCGTGAATTTAAAACCCACTGAATATGCCTGAAATGGTAAATCAGTGAAATTTAAACCCAGTGAAAATTAGTCATTTTACAGTATTATTTAAACATTTATTTTCATGTAGCAAGGATATTTTCATAATACATTACAGTTGTTTACATAAATTTACAGTTGTTTAATTTTACATGGACGACATTCATCATTGTGATTGATCAACGGGTTTTCAACCCACATTCAAAATTTATAATCGTTTATACATTTTTCTCTAAAAGGTAGTGTAGTGTGATAAGCTCCTTGTTGTCATTTCACTCTGACTCTCATTCTGATTTAAACTTCATTCTCTCTTGCAATGGGGAAGAATTTGATGAAACATAAGGTTACATTTAAACCTTATTATATACCTAAAATAAAGTAGGACTTCCCCAAAGTTTCAGTATACCACTTGTGCTGTTAATTTCCATCGCCTTCCTTGTTTAATTATTTATGGTATCTTTATACAGGGTGGTGGGGGCAGTGTCAGCATGCTTTCAAATTTGTTGTTATGTGTTGTATGCATTGCATGGAAGTTAAACATGGTGCTTCACAACAAATACAAAACCACCTTTGTTGGGATTTATATTTAATAAACGTTTTAATTTCTCATGAGTGGCAATTTAGTCAAAGATGAGAAAACTGCACAAGAAATTTGTCTTTACACGTATCGGCAATGCGAGCTGCCCAGCAAGTTTCTATTCTGACGTCACAAGGGGAATTTCTATATGCAAATGAGAAGCTAATGAGGAGCCTCGTTTTAAAATACACAGAAATAAAGTTGCTGTAGACTGAGTTTAAAACACTAAAAAAATAATTTATTCTTAGAAACATAAAAATTATAATATTTTGTATCAATGGATAATTTTAGGCGAGAAAATAGCAGCCATTTCACAGGCACTTTAACTTCATGTATGGGATATTTTTACTGTGACAGACAATTTGATATTATTTAGCGAGATGGAATTGGTAATGTGACAAACTGTGGCGACGTCTGAGTTATTTAATTATAACACTAACATAATTCACACTGTTTGCAAATTAATGTGTGTAAATTTTATCAGATAGATCAGATGTAATTCAGTCTAGTAATCCGATATTATAGGAAATTTAATGAAGATATAATATTGACTGAATGTATATTATACAAATGTGAATAGAAAAATTGTTGTGAGGCATACTGAATTTGCACTTAAAAACGGATCTTCAATGGACGTGAATATACCGTATGTGAACAAAATATTTTTTACCGAATCATTAAAGAAACAATAGATTTTGAAAAAATTTTTGTTTAAATGCAACATAAAAATTACCAAATCTTTTCGAAATATTGTTTTAGACAAAATTACTCGTGCAAAGTGCCCTTTTACGAGGCTAATATCTCATGAATTGTCATGAGAAACATTGAAATAAGTGGCATGGTGGTGAAAAATATGACATACACACTATTATTATACTTCTGTCACTGTAGCGACATTTTGTGGTATTGCACTGTATTTTCATCATACCATATTAGAAAACGAGAATTTCAAATATGGAACGATTGCGCGCATAAGCGTCCTCTAATAATAAAAAAACAAACATGGCTGCCCCCAGGGTTTAACCGGACCCACACAAAGAAGTTCGCTAAATCTGTTCTAAACATTTTAAATTTCGGCATTCCCATGATGTATTCCTGGGAGGAAAAGATGTATAATAATACGGTTATTACGAGGATACTGCAAAGTATGCACTCTGACAGTACACGGTCGCAATGACTTTCGCTGCACGTCACTCAATACTCCCGCTGTACTGCCTTTGTGCATACTTTGCAGTATTCTTGTAATAACCTCATATTATGGAAAATGACACATAAAATCATCAGTGAGAGGTAATCCAATCCATACCATTTTGAAGAAATTTTAATAACATAGCTCCTCCAGGCATTCACAATACTTTGTTCATCAAAGCCATTTTTACTGCCAGGACATTTTCAAAAGTAAAAGGCATGTGAAAAAATAAAATAAAATTGCCCAGTACCACACAGAAGTCATTTTTATGGTGTTTGAGAAATTCAGTCTTCTCACTTGTATTAACAGCTCTTGTCCATTAACGAGGCTACAATTAATGGTTCTATGTATGGGATATATAACTTTGTTTTCCCCTAGAGAGCAAGTTAATACGAAAGCAGCTGTTAGTTACATTGCAATAAATTATGCTTGCACTTTAACCTTTGACCTTCTATGTTCATCATCAGGTTCGACACACTTATCTTGAAGCGCATCATGTGATTAAAAAAAGAACGGCGGATCAATCTATTCGTATATATGTGTGGTATGATGGCAGTGTCAATGATTTAGAAAGTCCCAAGAGAAATTTAATAAAGGTATTTAAAATGAGTTTTTTAATGGAGATTTCTTGCTTGTGTCATTAATTGAGCAGCCCAACGATCATTTGTTAACTGATCTTGAGTTCTCTGTCATCATTTTTGTCTTTTTCTAGCTAGGTTGCCATGACTCTAAAGAATTGCATCAGTTTTGTTATTTTCTGTTATGGCTCTTTGAACAGCAACTTTAGTCAACCGCTCAAAAAATATTACAAACATATTAACGTTTGTTTCACATGTTTAACAAATTTGTAATTGTAAAAAATGTCATTTATAAAAAATGACAAGTATTTGGTCCAAAATTGGGGACAAATGTGACATTTATGGCAGTTGATGAATAATAATAATAATATCTTTATTATACCGTAGGTGAAAAAAAAATTATATATCATTTCATTAATTAAAAATGTTGCATGTATCAGATATTACTTACCTTATATGGGTGCGTATTACCTGAAAACAGGATGTCATAGGAAGGACGAATGTTCTTGTGCAAAGGCACAATTACACTCATATTAGGAATATAATATTATATTTTATATGTCTCAGTTAATATGAATTTTGACAGATATCGTCATTTTAAATCAAGGGAGTCGTCACCTGCACATGAGGAACGCAGCCATAGCGTGTCGTTGTTTACAAATAAGCGTCTACCCAGTTATTGCATGCGCAGGTGACAACTACATTGCAGTGGTTCGCACAATGGTCATTACATGCTTCACTGGACCACAAAATATTCTGAATGCTCCATAATTATTAACCATGTAGTAAAATTTGTGTGAAAACTGAAGGCATGTAATAATATTCCTAAATGCTACATGCACCTTGTTCAGGTTTGATTTAAATCTTCGCTTTGTCCACTATGATAAATGCACATTTATTAACATTTTTTTTTTCAGAATGAACTGATACCTCAGGCAATAGATTATTTTTCTAATGCTTTTCAAGTCAAACCTACGGGTGTTCCTATTAGATTATCAAGGTAAGACATATAGTGTGTTTTTATCTAGATTCTGACTGAGTAAAACAGTTTATGATTTATTTATTATAAATCTTTTTGGTCAAATAAGCATATGAAAAGAAGAGAGGATGTTACAAGGTGGAGAGCAAGGGTGTTATGCGATGGGAAGAGAGGGTGTTGTGAAGTAGGAAAAGAAGGTGTTATGAGGTGGGAAAAGAGGGTGTTATGAGATGGAAAGAGAGGGTCTTATGAGGTGAGCAGAGAGGGTGTTTCGAGGTGTGCAGAGAGATTGTACATTTTTTTTTCGGACTGCATTGAAAATGGTCAACTGGTTTTCATTTTGTTTCAAAGAATGCAGTTCTATATGCTCAACTTGCCTGGACTGATCAAGTTCAAACTTCACACATACACCGTTGCATTTTTTCACAATCAAATCCAAAACGGCTGACTGGTGGTTGACAGTTTTGCAGAGCCATCTCATACATGCCTGGACCAATCAAGTTCAAACTTCACACATACATCATTGCATTTTTTTCACCATCAAATCCAAAACGGCTGACTGGTGGTTGACAGTTTTGCAGAGCCATCTCATACATGCCTGGACCAATCAAGTGTTAGGTCATAAATATATATATATATATCTTACATCTATAATACATACGATGACAGAGACTGTTATTGTTTTATTTATTTATTTCAGAACATGTAGCAATAGTTATCAAATGCTTCCAGGTGAACCTTATGAATATTGTACAGATACGTGTGCTGAGGAAACCACCTGTGGTTACGTCACAGTGCCACAACAACATTTACAAGTATGTATATGGGCATCATTCATACAGCAATTAGTGCTGTTGTCATCGGCGAATGGAAAATCACCCATTCCTTTGACACTTAATATGTATGACTACTGGTCTTCAAGAACCTTTCCATTCCATTCATTTCCATTCAAAAATAAAGCAAGCGCATTGTTCACTTCTGTTACTATTAAATACACATATATGTCCTTCTGTTAATAAAGACAAATTATGGGCAATGTTGTCAAAGTAGATCTTTACTTTAATAGTGTTGACCATTGAGCGATATCAGAGGTACATTACTTGGGGTTTGCAACTACGGTGACATGATACCAAGATCCCGTTTCAATCTCGCTCTCGCATAAGCGTTCCAACTCAGAAAAATGCGAATGCGCATGCCCGAGGTAACTAGAATACTGAGATGTCCAGGTGGATCAAAATAGCTGCCCACGGATGACGGATTACGATAACTATATTTACTGTACATTTTTGATGTATTACATTTTTTCACTATGAATGTGGTAATACATGTTTTATTGTTTTATTACAAACCGCCTATGTCATGTCAGAAGGTCGAAGCATCAGTCTCACTATCTACAAGAAGTGACTTGAATGGGATCTTGGCATGATGTTACCATACAGTACTATGCGAGTTGCAAACCCCAAGTATTGTACCTCTGGCGATATTTATTATATCAGACATCTGCATGGTTGTCAAAAATGAAAACAAGTGATATGAAAGTATGATGACTTATAAAGTGCCAATGTTCTGATATGATAAAAACACGAATAACCCTGTAAACGTCCGCATTTCATTGTACGCAACACAACCAATTTAACTTAGTTGACAAGAAAATTATCTTCTAAGCCTTTAGGACTATTTTAGCTGTTGCTTGCTGCCAGTATTTTCATATTTTTTCATTCAAATAATCCTGAGCAAAATGGTATCAAATGGGTAAATATATGCGACATGATTTATATTTATGGTAATGAAATGCAAATAGCTGCAAAATAAAAACACACCTGTAATGTATTTATATTTCTAATTGAGAAAAAACGATGCATCACCTTTCATGGATACATTATTGTGACCGTATCCCAAGTTTTCTTAACTCAATTCATTGGTATTAATTAATCAAGAAAAATTAGCTTAGGTTCCTTACAGAGGTTGTATAGGCAAATACAGTGAAACCTGTGTTTGTGATCACCTATATATAAAGACAACCTGTCTAGAGTGACCACGTTTAGGCAGTCCCAAGGCATAATGTATGAGCAGCCTGTGTATAAAAACCACCTGCCTGTAGCAACCACTTTTAGGCAGTCCCAAGGCATAATGTATGAGCAGCCTGTGTATAAAAACCACCTGCCTATAGCAACCACTTTTAGGCAGTCCCAAGGCAT